ATTATAGATCTTCGACATCTAAATTACTACATCTTTACACAACATTTCTGTATGGTGACGTCGGAGCGAATTCTCCCTATTCTACAACAAGGCATCTGGTTCACCTCCATAGACTTAAGTGATGCATACTTTCATATAACCACTTGCCAGGATCATTGCAGATTCCTCCGGTTTGCCGTAGGAGACCAGGTCCATGAATTTGCAGCCTTACCATTCAGCCCCTCCATGGCTCCAAGGGTGTTTACCAAGTGTATGGTGCTTGTGGTGGCCCACCTTTGCACCCTGGGCATCTCAATATACCCTTACATAGACAACTGGCTGCTTGTGTCGCCGTCCCCATGGCAGGCAGTCACAGATGTTTGTACCACCATCTCTTCTCTCGTGGACCTCGGCCTACGGGTATACAAAACCAAATCAGTTCTCCATCCAACTCATGGCATCACTTACATAGAAGCCATTCAGATTCACGAGTGTTCCTTTCATCAGCCGACCTTTCTACACCTTTGCAACCTCTGGGGACAACCCGAGGTTGACGTCTTCACCGCTCCTCAAAACGCCAAATGCTCCAGAGCGGGCACCGGCCAAGGATCTCAGGGAGACAGCCTGATGATGGACTGGTCCACCAACTTCCTCTACCCCTTTCCACCCATTCCTCTGATACTCAGAACCATATCAAAGATCATGTGCAAACAGGCGAATGTGATCCTCATTGTCCCGTGGTGGCTGAGGCAGCCATGGTTCACTACCCTGTGCTCCATCAGCACCAACCGCCTCCATCTGCCCCTGATACCAGACCTTATAACTTAACACCAGGGATGGACCTATCACCCTGACTTCCAAACGCTACAACTCACCATGTGGAGGATCAAGCCTTGATAGAAAATATCCTGGCACATTCCCGCAAGCCATCCACCACTAAACTGTATTCATACAAGTGGGCTACCTTTCTCCGTTTTGCTAAATGTTACGATTTACCTACAAAGCCAGCTACCCTCAATGCTGTTCTCCAGTTCCTCATGCATCTGTTTGATCAACAACTATCCTTATCAACCATTAAAGTCCATCTCTCTGCCATTATTGCATACCAACCTCAAGACTGCGACGCTACCATGATTTTCAGGCACCCTACACTCAAACGATTTTTGAGAGGTGTAGCTCACATGTGTCCTCCTGCTCCACAACCCACTCCACAATGGTCACTCTCCCTTGTCCTCCACTACCTCTTGAGGCCACACTTTGAACCTCTTGCCACTGCCTCGGAACACCGACTCTCCCTCAAAACTCTGTTCCTCATGGCAATCACCTCCGCAAGGAGAGCATCTGAACTTGCAGCCTTGAGAATTGACAAACCATTTCTTCATTTTCACCCAGACAAAGTTACCTTATTTCCGGACATTTCTTTCTTACCTAAGATAGTTTCTAACTTTCATCTTTCACAACTGATTGTACTTCCTGCCTTCTTCCCGTCACCCTTGTCAGACCTTGAAAGGTCTCTTCACATGTTGGACACTAAGAGAGCCTTGGCATTCTATTTGTCTCAGACTGCTTCCTTCCAAAGGTCCAAAAGGCTCTTCATCACCCTCCACCCACCTCACAGAGGATCCTATATCTCCTCTCAGACTTTGTCATGGTGGATGGTATCAACAATTAAGTTGGCATACCAGCTCACCAGAAAACCTTTGCCTGTCAACATCAAAGCACACTCAGCCAGAGCCACTGCTACCTCTGCAGCATTTTTGCATGGCATCCCGATTCCAGACATTTGTAAGGCCGCCATGTGGTCTAGTCTACGTACCTTCACTGCACAACTTCAGATTGGACTTAGAGCGAAGGCAGATGCATCCTTTGGGAGGGCAGCTCTTTCATCTATCCTTCAGTGATGTCCCTCCTCCTCTGAGGTAAGCTTGTCAGTCACCCATTAGTGTGCATTCACAGAGACCATGAAGAAGAAAGAGATTACCTACCTGTAACTCTGGTTCTTCGAGTGGTCCTCTGTAAATTCACACTTCCCACCCGTCCTCCCCTCTGTCAGTCACTTCTGTATCTACTGATGCAGCAGCGGGCTGTTACCAGAACTGAGGTAACTCTGAGGGCAGGTGGACCTCGTGGGCTGAGGGGGCGGTGCATTCCTTAACAGCTTTAAGCTAGAATATTCCGGAGATCTATGCTCAGGCGCAGACGTAACCCATTAATAAGAATTCACAGAGGAGCACTCGAAGAACCAAAGTTACAGGCAAGTAACCTCTCTCAGCCCCATAGTTCTTAAAGTGTACAATTTTATTATGCAGGCTCTATATTGCCTGTCGAGCAAGCTGGGTACTCAGTTTATCAACTTGGAAGGATGGAAGGTTGAGTCAATCTCAAGCCAGCTACCTGAGCCCAGGATCAAACTCAGGTCATGAGCAGAGTTTTCACTGCAGTACTGCAGTTTAATCACTGTGCTTTGAGCTCCTGAGACATATGTTGGGGCTTTCTTGGTGGTTGCTGTGAAGTTAATGAACTCCTTACCAAGGAAGGCCTGGCCTCCTTCTTGTTTTCTTCATGTCTGTAGACCATTATATTCAGGTAGCACTATAGCACCTCCCCTTGCTGCTTAAAGAAAAGTCTTATGTACCTGATTGTTTGAAATATGTAGCCATGAGCCCTGAAAAACAGTGTAGGGTGTATCCAAATCAGAGAATGGTCTGAGCCACTTTTAATTTTATTGCATTGTATTTTATTTCAACTTATATACCATCCCATAGCGCAAAGTACTCTTTGGGTGGTTCATAGCATAGGCATATGAACAACAGAGAATAATACAAATACATACCCTATTTTAGCTCAGTCTTTTCCCATGGGACAGACTATGAATCTCTAGACAAACGTGAAGTGCATGTGGAGAGGGCAGGAATGCAGCTGGGTATTGATAAACAAATAGCCAAAGAATACCTTACCACCTTGAAGAGCTTCAAATCTTAAGGGCCAGATTAACTGCATCCAAGAGTACTGAAGGAATTGGCTGAAGAATTCTCGGAACCGCTGTCCATTATTTTCTTGAAATCATGGGAAATGGGTGAGGTGCCAGATGACTGGATGAGGGCCAGTGTTGTCCCTATCTTCAAAAAGGTCAAAAAAGAGGAACCTGGGAACTACTGGCCAATCAGTCTGTTGTCAATCCCAAGGAAAAATCTGGAACAACTCATGAAACAGTCTCTATACAAGCACCTAGAAAACGATCCAGTAATAACTAGAAGCTAATACGGATTTGTCAAAAACAAATCCTGCCAGATTAATCTGATCTCATTTTTTGATCAGGTAACCTCCCTGATAGACAGATGGAATGTTGTGACTTCAGCAAAGCTTTTGACCAAGTGCCTCATGGTATCCTGATTAGAAGCTAAGGTGTGGGCTGGATAGATGAAGAGGGTGATGATTAATGCCTCCTTCTCCAACTGGGAGGAAGTAACAAGTGGGGTAGCCCAAGGCTCAGTCTTGAGTCCAGTGCTCTTCAACATTTTTGTTAATGACTTGGATGAGGAAGTGCAGGGAATGATTGTCAGATCTGCAGATGATACAAAATTGGGCAGAATAGTGAATACCCTGGAAGACAAAAACAAAATTCAAAATGATCTTGATAGGTGGAGCACTGGGCTGAAAACCACAGAATGAAATTCACAGTGCAACGTACTGTGCCTCAGAAAAAGAAACCAATGCACAGTTGCAAGATGGGAATATCTGGCTCAGCAATACTACAAGCAAGAATGATCGTGGACTTGTCATAGATCACAAAGTGAATATGAGGGAACAGTGTGATGTGGCTGCAAAAAAAGGCAAATGCTATTTTAGGCTGCATTAATAGAAGTATAGTTTCCAAATCCCGCGAGGTGCTGGTCCCCCTCTATTCAGCACTGGTTAGGCCTCACCTTGAGTATTGTGTCCAGTTCTGGACACCACACTTCAAGAAGGATGCTGACAAATTGGAACAAGTTCAGAGGATGGTGGCAAATCAGGTGGCTGGAAACCAAGCCCTATGAGAAAGAATTGGGCATGTTTAGCCTTGAGAAAAGAAGAGAGAGGTGATATGCTAGCACTTTTCAAATATTTGAAAGAGGGGCAGGATCTATTCTCAATCGTCTCAGAGTGCAGGACACACAACAATGGGTTCAAGTTACAGGAAGCCAGATTTTGGTTTAATATCAGAAAAATCTTCCTAAGTGTTAGAGCAGTACAACAGTGGAACCAGTTACCTTGAGAGGTGGTGAGTACTCCAACACTGGAGGCATTAAAGAGAAACTTAGACAACCACCTGGCAGATATCCTTTGATTTCTATTCTTGCTTCAAGCAGAGGGTTGGACTTGATAGCCTTATAGATGCCTTCCAACTTCACTATTCTATGATTCTATCGCTGAAATTTTGACTGTCTTTTCCACCCGCCATCTATAGTCTTCCTGATTTATAACACCATATTCTAGTAAATGCTCTTGAGCTGTGACTTATAAAATCAATTTGACAGGTGATCTTTTTGTATCTCTTCTAGCAACAACAACCCCAAGCATTTAAACCAGGACTCTGTTCCCCTAAATAGCTCACACGACAGTCTGTTACTTGAGCAAGTCAAACATTTCAGAAGTTTTTAGGATATATAACTGGTACTGTGTAAAAGAAGCCCCTTTAGTTTATATGAGTGATTTCTGCAAATGATCTCTTCTGGTCAGTTTACCAAGGTGCTCTTATAAAAGACTCAGAAGTGTGAAGGCAGGAGGAGAAGGGGACGACAGAGGATGAGATGGTTGGACAGTGTCATCAAAGCAACCAACATGAATTTGACCCAACTCCAGGAGGCAGTGGAAGACAGGAGGGCCTGGCGTGCTCTGGTCCATGGGGTCACGAATAGCTGGACACGACTAAACGACTAAACAACAAAAGCTCCTTAATGGGAAAATGCAGTAAATAAATCAAAGAAACAAATAACATGTGTTCTAGTTTTCCTGAGTTTCAACCCTTTTTTCCTTTCTAGGACTAACACTAAGTGTGTATTCAGTTCGGCAGAAGGACTGTTGCACTCTTCTTCTCTGAATAACACACCCGTGTTTAATCTTTCCAGTGCTGAAGGTAAATTTAAATTAAAATTTTAAAAAATATATAGCTGGTATTCAGTTGTAGGAAGTACACATTTTTCACTGTTTGTTTATGGGTACAAAGCCTAATGGTGATATATTAGAATGTTTATGCTGGAAATGTTTTGTTTCTGATTGCTGACTTCTTTGATCTTGTTATCTGTTATCTGCTGATATTACTTTCCTACCATTGGATTAGTTAGTTCTGTTTACTGCTTGTGACTTTTCATGTTCTTTCTATTTTAATATTGTTTGTTGTGTTCATGATTATTTTTAAATATTTGTTTGCTACTCTGGAAAGTCTTGAATTTGAAAACTATTTGATTTCCTTTATGTCATTAAAATCCTTTAAATAAATAGATAAATAAACTGAGTTTGGAAATTTAGAAAGTCTAAACATCTAAAGCAATTGTCTTTAGGATCCCAGCTAAAAATGTCAAAAAGCACAAACCATGGCCATTTCATTGTAGCAGTTTCCTTGCAACACACCACAGAGAGAGGTTTAGCAGTCAAACTCTACTGGGTGACATAAGAAGATAGTATTTGTCCACACTCACGCATTATCCCCAGGTATTCTGGGTTTGTTCTGGGTCATTCTGATAAACTATTTGTTGCAGATTTGAATAGATCATTCTAGTATTGGTGTCCACACCAGGGGAGGGTATTTGTTGCTGGATAGACCTGTTGGATATGCCCAAACTGTACCTAATACATACACATCTAAAACAGCTCCCTAAGGTCTGACTGTGAATTCAGATTTCTCTCCCCTTTTGCCTATCTTCTGAGCCCTTTCTATGCCTAACTCACTCTCCCTTAACTTGCTCTTTTTCATTCCTTGCCCACTATTCTTAGACCTTCATGTTAAACTTTTGAATATTAATTCTTTTCTTCTTAGTTTTCATTTTTGAACTGTGTTACAGTGCAATATCATTAAAAAAAATTAAAAAGCAGAAACCAGGAACAGCTGATACCTTCTCTGCCCTCTTCCTGCCCCCTTCCCTCTCTTCTCCTTCCCTCCCTGTTTTACTTGTCCATAATTCTCAAACTTTGGGTTATGGTACAAAAAAGAATATATATAATGTTCACTAATAAATGTTGGTTTGTGCTACAAAAAAGAAAGCAGAACAGCTGGTGTCTTCTCTATCCTCTCCCCACCTGCTTTACTGTCCTGCCTTCCCTCACTTACTGCTTGCCATTCCCAAATCTTCACCTTTTGGTGACAATGTTTTTCCAGGTTTGTTTTTATTTTTCTTTTTATTTTATTTTTAGTGTTCACTTTTGTGTTATGGTATAAAAGAGCTAACATAAAACACACACATGCAAGAGAATGTGATATTTCAAGAAAACTGAAAATAACAGACAGTAAGCCCTTTCTCTCGGTCCCACCACCCTCACAGCAGGTTGCTTTCAAATATATTTTTACTATTGAATTTATTTACCATTTTTAATATAACACTTGTATAATTCTTTTTAAATATTTGAATACTTAACATTTTTAGTTTTCAATACATATTGTCTTTTTAATTATGTAAGCTGCCTTTCATCATTATATACTAGTAAGCCTGAACCACAGGTGGGACATTTTGTTGTTTTTGAATTACAGTTCCCAGAATCTCATAATGAGCATGATCAGTAGCCATGCTGCCTCTGGAATTCTGGGAGTTGCACTCCAAAAGCAAGAACCCTGAACATTTCCCAGCTGTGGTCTGAGCTGATGGAGAATGATAGGGAAGTATGAGATCATAGAGGAAACCTCAATGGAAACATTGATCACTGTGCAGAAGCTATGAAAGTGTGTTCTGGTCAGTACATCTAAACACCACACTTTGGCATGTAGAGCAGAACAGTATACCAAACAGTTCAGCCCAAATGATCAGTCCGTTCCTTCCTTTATGGGGAAAAATTACAACATGCAAAGCTTTCAGTTTAGGAGAAAAAAGAAATTTGAGATATGACAGATGTTTGTGAACATTTATATGTTTTCCCCCTTTCTTACTGTACAAGAACCTATAGTCATGCAGGGAAGTTGAATGGTGGGAAATTCAAGAGACATGAAAGAAAGTATTTCTTGTCATACCGCACAGATAAACCATAGTTGTTGGGTTTTTTGCAAGTATTTGCTGCCAACTTGAATGGCATTAGAAAGAGAGTAGACAGATGCATGGAGGATAAAGCCATCAGAGGCTACTGACTAGTCATGGTGATTGTGTATTGCTGGAGGCCAAAGGTATTGGAGGGAGTTAGTTTGGGTTTTGGGTTTTTTTTCCATAGGCATCTAGTTCGGCAATGTGAAAAACAAGATGGTCTGATTCAGCAGAGTTTGTTCATGTGTCCTTCTTGCCTAGTTGAAATAAGACCATGATGTGTCTATTTTATTGCTTTTATAACTGCATTTGTAAACCACAGAGTGGCCTTGGTAGCCAGATGGGCAGTATAAAAACAAAATTAATAAAAATATGAGTTGCTGAAATCCTAAGAATGTGGAGCGCTTCCATTCCTGCAAGGAATTACAGGCCATGAACTAAATATTGCTTATAATTAAAGAAAGGATGCTTTGTAGGATTAATATATGCCATAAATATGAAATGGCTATTTATTTATTTATATGAAAAGTATTTGCTTTTGCAAAATCTTAAGTAGAGGGTAGAAAGATACTGCTACTTTATTTATTCAAATAAGTATATTTTTCTACAGTTTACCCTTTTCAATTTTTTCTGAATGTATACAGTTCCTTCAGATTATGCTTTAACTGCTGGATCATCATACAACTCTACATCTTCATTTGGCCAGTCAAGTTCTACATTCTCTTCTGTGCCATTTGGAGTAAATGTGAGTATATCACACAATATATAATTAGTTTTATTTTATTCTCTTTAAATCAGTCCTTGAATGACTTACTTGTAACTTGGTGTTTAGCCTATGTGTCTGCTTTCTAGTTCAGTGAGAAGTAGAAAATATAGTAATTACTGTATTCTATTTTGATTTTGGGGCTAGTACCTCCCACATTGTTTTTCCAAAGTAAGCCAAATTTACCAAGTCATCAAACAAATTGTGTATTCATGATTCACTTTTGTCTCTTAATCTTCAATATGGAAATAAATAATTCTTATTCACTATACTGAATTGTCCCAAGAAACAAGGAATCAATTGATAATAGGCAGATCCAGATTCTTATTATTTCGAAAATCATGCTGTGGAAAGCATAATTAGCATTTAACATCATGTTCCTAAGCAATCTGGAAAATGTTTCCTTCCATGCTGTGCATGGAAAATAAAATAAAATAAAATCTAAAATAACTGATCTAAAATGAAATTATATATAAATTTATATGCATTGCATTGTTCAATTTTTATTGTGCAGCTCCCCAAACTATCCAGCTTACAGCTGCTGATTGTGCAGTGGCCTTTTGTTACTGATGCTGTTTGTTTTAAATAAACACATACACTTTCCATGAATAACCAGGTGCATGATGATTACTAGAATTATTAATTTGTTGTTTTCCTAATCGTTCCTATAACCTGTGTTGTAAATAGCTTGTAAGTGGGGTTTCTTAGATTTCTTAAAGTGTATTGTACAAGTAGTCTTTCAGCATGAAATGCTAATGAATTCTATAGTATTCACTTTTGGTCAGGCTGTTGATTAGGACAAAGGGATAAGTGTACCTTGCTCCATTATTAATAAAATATTTAAGTTCTGAACGGTCAGACACATATGCTATCATAGCAGGTAGCTTGTAGACAACATTAGCCATTGTTTTTCCTCCCTCTTTTGTTTTCCTCCCTCTTTTGGAATAGTGGCTAATAAGATAGGTGATATATTTGATGTATGGAATATTGCAGGCAATGACAATATTTGGGCACTTATATCATTTGCACTACTATAAGTAACACTGTCAAGGTTCTAAAATTCCATGTGGATATGCAGTTTGATATTAACTTTAGTAGTCCATTGATTAGTTTACAATACAATCATATTTCTTCAGTTTTTAATTCTGTAAGAGAATGAAATTGGTTTATGGAGTTTCACACTTGGTTTGGAACATAAGTAATCAGTTAACACTAGTTAGAAACTTCTTTGCTATAAAATTTTCATAGCTATCTGATTTTTGTGTATCCATGGCTAAGGAATCTTCTGATTGAATATAAGCTTTATCCAGTGTTCCTTAACAGAAGTGACACTGTTCTGCAGTTAGAAATGTTGTTGCCACCAGATGGTAGCAGTCTACTCTTCTAAGAACATAAGCCTATATTGTCTGGCATGTATTTAGAAAATGTGTACTTTTCCTCATCTCTGTATCTTGCATTTATCTGTGCTTTATTTCATGACACATTATTGAAAAATGTACATTCCTTTTAGTATGTCATTAGACCTCAGGCTGAAACGCTGAGATACTGTAAGTTCCTGGATCTAATCTGAATGTATTTTGAGCAGTGTATTGAAAACTGGCATTTTGGAGATATGAAATTAGTAATTTGGATTGGAAATGAGGAAATACAATGGGTAGAGCTGAACAAAAAGTGCACAGCAATTTGGTCTTTAATGCTTGTCTTCCTATCTAAACTAGGTCAAGGAATGATTTGATATGCATGTCCTTAATTAGCGGAAGAATATTACGTTAGCATAGTCTTTCGAGACTGAAGGATGCCTTAAATATTTATCTAAATTTATTTTTAATAATTTTAGGTTCCACAAAGGAAATCTAACCCTGGCCGTGTAGTGCACATATGTAATCTTCCTGAAGGAAGCTGTACAGAGAATGATGTCATCAATCTTGGACTTCCCTTTGGAAAAGTCACTAATTATATTCTTATGAAATCTACCAATCAGGTATTCTTCTTTATACTGTTTATTGTAATAAAAGGTTAACTATTTGAATACACTTTTACATTTTTGTTTTAAGAGTATATTGGGAAAACTTACAGTACAGTGGTGCCTCGACTTACGACCATAATACTTTCCAGAAGATGGTCATAAGTCGAAATGGTTGTAAGTCGAATCAGCATTTTGCATTGAAGCCCGATTAATCCATTCTGGCTGTTTTTTGGTTGTATCTAGAGGTGACGGTTGCAAGTCGAAGCATTCCTTCCCATAGGAACAAATGCAAAAGTGGTTAATCCATCCTCTACCACTAGGGGGGAGAATTTTTCTTATTTTAACCTAAGATGACTTAGGTTAAAAAAAGGGCAGGAAAGGAGGAAGGGAACAATGGGGGAAAGAGGAAATAAAGAAGGTCATCACTGGGGCACACAGACCCCTCAGACAAAGGTTTGCTCTCTTTTTCTGTTAAGCACAAAAATAGAGAAGAAAGAGAGAGAGAGAAGACAACTGGGGGGAGGGTTTGGAGTCTAAAACACATTTTAAACAAAACACTTTTTAAACCAAACATTTAAAACCAAACACCTTTTAAACCAAACCAAACACCTTTTAAACAAAACACATTTTAAAACCAAACACTTAAAAAAACCAAACACATTTTAAACCCACCCACCAACACCTTTTAAAATAAAAGAGATGTCACTTAGCTTTTTGTGTCTTCTGGAGGACATCACGGTGACTTCTGACTGGAGGACAGGCAGGTGGGTGGTGCGATGGTCATCTCTGCAAGGTAGAGGTCCCCTCCTTTGGGTCATCTTCTCCAGAAGTTCCCTGTTACTGTCTCTTGGCTGCAGGCTTCATCCTAGTGAAACATTTGTCCAATTTCACCTGCTTCATCCTGCACCGCAGAACCTTTCTGAAATGGCTGACCATGTTGTCCTTCACCGTGTCCAAAACTCTTCCGTCACAGTCCTGTTTGGGTGGTTCAAAGAAGTCCTAGCACTTGTTCCATTTCTTGCAGATGGATCTTATCTCCTCGCTGCTAACCTGTGCTGCCTTTTCCTCTTCCTAAGTGGAAAGCTCCTCCACAAGAGCCTTCTGCTGCTTGGTTTGAAGTTCTGCAAGTTCTTCTGTGGTCAGCTCCTCTTCTTGGTCTTCAACTAGCTCCTCTACATCCTCCTGGTTGACATTCAGACCCAGGTTGTTGGAAAGATATTTCTTGACAGTGGGTGCAAACACTTCATAGAGCCATTCCAGAAACAGCTGTTTTGTCATCCAAGCTGTTGCGTTGGCTCTCCACATGACAGGCAGTGTGGCCTTGTTAACTTTCTCTTGGTGGAATGGGTGAGGAGACGGGGGGTGGTACACCAGATCGCCGGTGGCATTGGCACACAGCAAAAGGGTCAGTCTGTCTTTCACGGGTTTTGGCCCGGCATTTTCTGCTCCTCCCGAGTGATGAAGGTTCTCCTAGGCATCTTCTTCCAGAACAGCCCTGTCTCATCACAATTGAAGACTTGCTGGGGAAGGTAGACTTCTTCCTTGATGAATGTGGCGAAGTCCAAATTGAAGGCTTCTGCAGCAGCATGGTCAGAACTTGCAGCCTCCCTTTAAACAACTACAACTTGAACTAACAAATAAAGATTAACTAACAAATAAAGCCGCCCAGAGACCTCTGGGTAGTGCGGGCGGCATATAAATTGAATAAATAAATAAATAAATAAATTATGACTACTATTGTGTGATAGATTTTAATGCTGTTTTTGACAAAGAACTAGACACAAAATCAGATAAAATAACCAAAAGAGAGAGAGAGAGGAATAATCTCAAGAAATTTTCTTCAACTGGTGGAAAAAGTAAATATCTGTCATGAGTTCAGCCAAAGAAGATCTGGAATCTGAGGGGTTAATTACAGCTGAGGAGAATGCTGGGCAATCAGAATTGCAGACAGCTGAATCACCACCAGATTCTCCTCCCCCAGTAGCCAGAGTAAGGGAGAAGCTTCGGCAAGGACTCATGACTTGAAGATCCGAAGCCCGCATGAATGCTTCCCATAGGAACATCAGGTCGACCAGCCCTGAGTTTTAGCAGGATAAGGTGTTTAGATGACTGCTGTTGCTATAAAATCTGCACCCAGAGTCTTGCAAGCTTGTGGAAGCAACAAGTCAACACCCTGGCTCTCATCCACGCTCCTGCTCATCTTGGACCATGTTTTCTGGACCCTGGGCTTTGGACTCTGACTTCTGACTACTGTCTGTGTTTTAGCTCTGGCATTTTGGTATCTGCTTTGCATCTTCTGAACTTCTGATATTGGACTGGTTTATTGGACTTTTGCCTGTTGAAACGCCCAGAAACATGACAGATTGCTTCTCTCTCCATAAGATGGAGGGGGAGGCAAGTGAAGGCTGTGGTCAGCTGCATGCTGTGCTTACTCAGGTGCAGTTTCTTACGCAAATGGTGGGACAGCTTCAGCAGTAACAACTGCAATCTCAGGCCAACGCTGCCACACAGGTCAAGTGCCCTGTGCTTCCTCCAGAAAAGTTTGGAGGAAAGATGGAGGAGTTTCCAGCATTCCTGGCACAGTGGAAACTGTATATTGAGCTGTGTGCCAGAGACTTTCCTACAGATAAAACCAAGATCTGCTTCATACTCAGCCTTCTCAAGGGACAGACAGCTAAATGGGCCACTCCTCTACTCCTTGCTCCATCACCCCTGTAACCAATTACCAGGGCTTTTGGGACCATATTTCAGCAGCCTTTGCTAATCCCTTGCAAACTGTTATGGCCAACAGGAAGATTCGGGCCCTGAAACAGGGTAAAGGTTCAGTTTCCCAGTACTCCACTGAGTTCAGACTCTTGGTCCAAGACTTGCTCTGGAACGAGGCGGCTCTCATGGATCAATATATGGAGGGGCTGGCTGATGATATTCTGGATGAGCTGGCATGTGTAGACCGACCCAATACACTGCAAGAACTAATCACTCTATGCCTTCACATTGATGGCTGCCTAGAGAGTTGATGCCTAGTACAGGGTGGTTCACATCCCTCACAGCCACTCCCGACACCTGCTAGCACTGGACAAGAGGATTTTGAGCCCATGCAGCTCGGCCACACCTCACCCCTGAGGAAAAAACACGACGCCATTCATAGAATCTCTGCCTGTACTGTGGGGGAGCAGGACACTTCGCCTCTAGCTGCTTTGTCAAGCAGCGTGCCGCCCAATCCGTGCTACCATTGCCAGTAAAAGATTTGCCCCATGTCTGAGTGGACCCCCAGATGTGGGGCTGGGTCCCCTGAACCCTATGTTAATATCCAGTGAAACGGATGGACGCTGGCTGTTGGTTTATGCCATGGTTGATTCCGGGGCTGACTGCTGTTTCATTGACATGGCCTTCATGAAACAGCACCCAGGAAACCTACCCGGTTATTCTCCAGATCCAGCACCATCAGGAGCAACTACAATTCAACATTGCATGTATGCCTCGTTTTCCTCTCGTTCTGGAAATTTCCTGGCTCCGGACACATATCCCCCTAGTGCAGGGGTTTTAAACTCAATTTACCTGGGGGCCGCAGGAGGCGCAGTCTGGGTGAGGCTGGGCCGCATCAGATTTTCCGCCAAGCGGAGCAAGAGCCTGAGGAAGCCACCCAGGAGGTTCCTTAGCTGACAGGTGGGCTGGCTGGTAGGCTGCAGTTCTGGATGGAGGGTGCAAGAGGAGATGTCTTGGGAGAGAGCCGGCGAGTGAGGCAAGGCTTTTTTTTTACTCTTGACAGTAGAGGATGTGTGGGCGCTTTGGGGGGGCAGGCAAGGCGAGGACCACAAACTATCATCTGGGGGGCCGCAAATGGCCCCCGGGCCACATGTTTGAGACCCCTGCCCTAGTGGACTGGGCACAAGGGGAGTTGCGCTTTAGAGATCCGTGTCTGTATCTGGTTCCACCAGCCACCTTGGCTGCAGCAGGTCAACAGACAGTCCCATGATACCTTTGGAGTACGAAGACTTTGCTGATGTTTTTGAGGAAAAGGGGGCCGACCAGCTACCCCTGCATCAACCCTATGATTGTGCCATCACAATCATAGGGTCAGTGTAGCATTGCCTCACAAAAATCTTTCTTAGTTGACAGTTGAAAGCATAAACATCTGATAAAGAAATATAAAACAATTCAGAGGAAAAAAACCCTCCTAGACCATGAAATGTCACAATGTGTTAATACCATCTGTAATTTGCTCATCTAGCAAATTGCTGGACCCATTACTTGTTCCTTCTATAATTTACAATGGCAGCATCTCATTTACCTTACAGGTGCACAGACTTTCTTAGTCTAAACAAAAACAGCTATCTGCCATAGTAGCAACTTGCTGGTCTTAATGGGAGTTATACTTTGCCACCCTGGTAAAAGCAATAGAGATTTCCATTAAAATTTTTCTGACCATTTATATTTCAGTTATTTACGTTTCCCTTCAACTTCAATAACTGAATTTTGCCAGTATAGTAAATTTATAGAGAACAGTAATTTACTACACTGGCAAAATTCAGTTATTGAAGTTGAAGGGAAACGTAAATAACTGAAATAAATATTAATATAGACAAGCAAGAGATGCCTATGCCAGGCATCACACACACTGGATGCTAACAAAACTGGTACTGGCACTAGACACTAAAGAGCAACAGCATGTAGCAGCACAGTTCAAATCAGCACCTTAGAACAGGCAACAAATATTTTCCTTCATAGAGGAAGCCTGGTCTGGCTAGATGAGTGCTGATAATATTTTTCATTTGTCTTCAATAATATACTTAAAGGCTAAAGATTGCTCAAAGGTGCAATGCTTTTTACTTCTTAATTAATGTATTTTTTTGCTCCATAAGACGCACCTCTCCATAAGACACACCTCATTTTTAGGGGAGGAAAAAAAATTGGGAGTGCCATCTCTAGGAACTAGACTGCAGATGTCTCTCTTTAAATTCAAAGGAAGGGAACAGAATAAGGCTGTTGATTTATCCATAGGGTCTCTAGTCATCTCCATGAGCTGCTTCTGCAAGGTCTACAAACTCTTCCAGAAGTTAAGAAAGATGGGAGTGTGGGATGAAGAAGTAAGTAAGTTTAAGTCCTACTGGTTGGTAAGGATACAGGGAAGAGAGTGAGCAGATGAAAATGCATCAGACTGGCAAAAGACCAGTGAGAATGAAAAAAAGTGGGGAGGAAGAAGAGAAATAAGAATCTTCTCTAGATAGTTGCAGGCAGACTTTATCTGTTAATATCTCCACAGGACCTGTAGGTAGCTGCATGTGGTTCTTTCCTTTTCAGGCCACCCAGAATGTTTGAAGAATTAAAGGAGAGAAAATGCTTTGCTTGGTAACATGGAGAAAGGGATGGGAACTGGAGTTGATGTGAAGAAAAGACCTGCAAGAAAGAAACAAGAGAGAGTAGAGAAAGCAGACAGAGAAATGCAATAGATGTGAGAATTAATTCATCTAGCCGTTGTGAGGCTGGATTATCTCTGCTAGTTGTAAATAAGGGCCAAATAAATCAGATTGCTGGAACAATAAAGAAATAAGCTTTCTTATCACTGGAAAGGTCAAATTAATTATGCTAAATAGCTGAAAATTGAGAGAAATGGAACAGAAATTAGCCCTTCAAATAAAGTTTGAGGCAAAGCCAGCAATGAAACTACTTCAGAGTGATCCAGCGGGAATGGAATCAGCAATTATTACTGCTGATTTTTGACCCAGCAGTTTTGTGTCATTTTAAATGCTATTTACATAATTTGACTTTTTAGAGTACAAAGTGTTTGGGGAGGAAGCTGTCTTTGAGAGCTCAGCTCAGAATGTGATAGACACTTATGGAAATCCATCGTTTTTAGAGGTTCATAAAAATAAAGGCAGAGTGATTGTTATGGGCAAACATAATGAATGACTGATAATGCTGTTCGGTCTGTAAGCTGTGGCAAGTAAAGGGAACAGAATTTGATACAAAGAACGATGTCAATCAAAGGGCTTCCTGCTGTTGTTTCCAGGTAACAAGTGGCATAGATCCTACATGGCAAGTAGCTATAGCATAACTAGTCTTCTATGAGTCTGCCTAATTCCATGAATCTGGCTGATCTTCTCTATAGCCACCTATGTTAGTGGCTTAGCTCACCTCACGTGAATTGATAGATGGTTCTCCTGCTTTCCTGAAAACCTGCATAGCATTTGTATTTCATAACGCAGTGGCAGTACAGTATTGGCAAGCCTTTAAGGTTATAAAGGGCCCGCGCGGGTGGGGGCGGGGGAGCCTCCAAAGGGTCTGAGAGTGCCTTCCAGGACTCTTGGGAGGCTCCCCCACCCCCACAGGGTCAGTGGGGGCGAAATCTCCAGCTTCCAGGACCTTTCTGAGGCTTTTTAAAAACTGTTCTGGGTGCATTTTGCATCGTGGTTTTGGGCTGGGTGGTGGGATTACATTTCTATGCTGTGATGGGTCTTGAAGGGTTTGTTTTTTGTTTTTTCCCCATTTTCGATGGGTCTTGCAGGGTTTCTTTCATTTTGGGTCCCCCCCCCATTTCCGATAGGTCTTGCAGAGTTTGTTTGCTTTTTGGTTTTCCCCTGCATTTCCGATGGGTTTTGCAGTGTCTGTTTGCTTTTTTGCTTTGTTTTTGCATTTCCGAAGGGTCTTGCATGGTTTGCTTTTCTTTTTCTTTTTCCTTCGGCCAGAACGGATTAATTGGTCTTGTAGTGTTTGTTTGATTTTTGTTGTTTTGTTTTGTTTTATTTTTGTTTTGTTTTGCTTTGTGGGTTTTTTGAGATTTTTTTCTTTGGCCGAAACGGATTAATTGTATTTCAGTGCATTCCTATGAGAAATGGTGCTTACTACCATTTCCAGTTATAACCGGAGTTCCGGAACCAATTAAGTTCGTAAGTCAGGGCACCACTGTATTGATATTTCTGTTGATCAACCCAGTAGAAGTTTAAACTTTGCCTTTTCTTGGGAGACAAGCCCCATAAAAAGGAACCTGAGCTTACGGTTCATAAAGGTTTATTGGGCTCTTAGGGAGATGTTCAGGTGTTAGATTTTCTTACTTGACACCACTATTCATAGAAGGCCTCATTTTCCAATTTTGTGAATGTCTAGTAGAGAAATATTTTCTAAGGTAGGACTCTGCAGTCCAGTTGGTGCATTTCAGAATCTTGAAATTGAGAGGCATAGAATTAGTGTTCTTTGCTATGAAGCTGAAGTAGTTAATACTTCTTGGTTTCTCGTATAAGAAAGAATTTTTGAAATATTTGTAAACTAGAAATATAGTTGGAATCCATAATACATTATATACTATACATAATATATTTTCACAATTTTACATACTATTCTTGAAAACATCATTGTAAATATGCTATGGAAGTTCCAATTTTATTGCATTTTTTCTTTTTTACTACATGATGTAAATATAACTAGAAATTATTTTTCCATTATAATAGGCTTTTCTAGAAATGGCATACACAGAAGCAGCTCAGGCTATGGTGCAGTATTACAAAGAGACACCTGCAATGATAAATGATGAAAAGTTACTCATTAGGATGTCTAAAAGATACAAAGAACTTCAGCTGAAGGTAAAATTGTTGTCCTGTCTTCCTCTGAATCTGGGTGCTAGTTTTTGAATGGTTTTCATGTTTTCAGATAAAATGTTATTTTCATTAACTGTTTGCCCTGTTATTTCCTGCAGTTAGGTAATTATTTATAAACATGTATTGTTTCATCTCTTAGAATTACAGAATCATAGAAAAGTGAAGTTGGAAGGGGGCCTACAAGGCACCTCTTATTGCATCTCTTCCATCCAGTCAGAAGCTTTGTGTTGTTGCAGTTGATGATGTTGCAGTTTGAACATTAGCTACTTGCAACTGAGCTCAATAACATGTAAAATTACTTTTCGTATGACTATTACCTCCACATTAAAGATTTCATGTGTGACCTATGTGGGCTATGTACTGATCCTCTCTACCTTACACCACACAGGGATGAGATAGTGCTTTATTCTAGTATCTCCCTTCTACCAAAAACAACTTCAGTTTTTCACCTTGGCCAATATTTAATTTTGCTGGTATATCTTCCTGGGCCCTGCACATAACTGGAGAGGTCTTTGTACATTCAGTATGATCTAGTTTTTGGGGGGGCAGAACTGACAGTGTTAGACACCTTGGCTGTCTCTCTATTATGAGGTCTCTAAGAAAAAACCCCTGCTGCTTATGCAGAGATTTTGCCACTGGTTTCTGTTCTGTTCTTCCATGAACTGACCAAATTCCTTGTTCCAGGAAAGAGTTATGCACACTTCAGCAGAGAAGTTGCTTTTTCTATGGCTCTGCTTGGAGAGGAGATAGTGCTGGAATTTTGGTGCTCTAGTATGGTTGCCGCTCTCTGCATTTATCTGGCACTACAGATATGATATTTGGGCCAAGATAGATGCCTCCTTTGGAACAGATGTCTTGATGTCATGGTTTCCTGTACTCCTGGCCTATTGAGTTAGCTTGTTACTCATACATATGGGTGACTAAATACAGCTCAGGAAGAAACAGCAACAGCAATTGTGTTCTTTCCATAGTGGTTCTTTACGATCTGAATTCTGCAGTCATAACTACCTCAGAGTCCTACTGCAGGTTAACATTGGCTCCTGTTAATAGGTGCTTCTTTATGTTGCCAACCACATTTAATGCATATGGACCACCAGGAATTTAATGAGGAATCAGGAACTACATACCCCTGAGTGTGCGCACACAGGATGGGACAAGGTGCCTACCAAAACACTAAACTGACTCTAAAAAATTCTGAAGCCAAGTTCAGCATAGGTGCAGTACATATGACTAACTAGAAGAACTAGACACAGGTAAGCAATTGTTGTTGCTCTCTCATTAAGTTTATCTGAAAAGTAAACAGCTCCATAGCCCACTACTTCAGGAAATTCTATGTATTTTGTTTCAGAGCAACAATGAAGTGTTAATTTAGAAGAGAGTTATATCATTCATTTAGCAAAAACTCCATGTTCTTCGTGGCCTCTGTGAATGCACACATGTGGGTGTTGTCTGCACCTGCGCTAACTTTCTCGGAAGATTCTAGAGCTGAAAGTAACAATTTAGTGGTGTGATTCCCCCATGAGGCATATGCTCTGCCCACCATCCCTTCCCCTCAGTTCCTCTTTTCCACCGAGCTGTTCAGTTCTCTTAGGAAGATCGGAGCATTTCTAACCTTCTTTGCTGGCTTTTCTAGCCTTTATCTAAACTTTTCTAGCTTTATAGCTAACTAAACCAACAGTCTTTTTAAGGACTAAATTTCTTTCTACTTCTTTCGCAGCGGGAGATATTTCCCTCTTTCTCTCTCTCTCCCGCTTCCATCCCCCCCCCATTCTTTCCTATGGCCTATCAGTTTCCTTTTAAATGCTGTACTTCGTGCCTTAACAAAATCTCTCTTTCTGACGCTCACAATCAGTGTCTGTTTTGTTTGGGTGAATCTCACCCTACTCACTCCTGCACCGCTTGCAAAAGCCTCACTCATCCGACATTGAAGCAGCGCCTCCAGAGACTCCGGTCTCACCTCTGGCAAACTGCGATGAATCCTCCGTCCCATCCCTGGGACTCGGTGAGATCCCCTGCTTCCTCGTCCAATCAGCTCCCTGCTGCTCAGCCTTCTTCTGAAGTCACAGACCCCATTCCTTCTTTGGACCTAAAGCAGAAAAAGAGGACCCTAAAATTGAAGAATTCCACCAAGTCCTCTAAACCGTCCCTTCCTTCTTCTAAGAAGAAGTCCACTGCCAAAACTACCATAGCAGAAAAATCTACTATCCCCCAGCCACCTCAGCCTTTCCTTCCTCCCCCAGCCCTGGAGGAATCTTCAAGAGACAACCATGATTTCGCCTCCAACCAGGAGGACGTTCAACATACAGTGATTTCTGCTATGGCATCGAGCTTTACACCGGGTTTCATCCATCCAGCGGCTGTGATCCCATCCAGCCCAGCCTCAGCCCATTTCAACCCTCCAACAGGGAGGGCAGTTGAAACTCATGTCTCTGATCCCAAATCTCCTGCCCACTCCCCTACGAAATGAACGGAGAAACGAAAGCATACTTCCCCACAGAGACTGGCCACACCGTTTCAGGACTTCTTCCCATTCCCTATGATGCCATACCAGTTTTTCGACCCAGCTGTCTGGCAGTCCCATTTTGAGTGATACCATGCCAACCAACTGAAACGGGCTTGTTTCGCCCCTGAACCTCCCCTCTTCCAGAGTGAGGATCTGCCAAAGCACAATCAATGGCCCTGACATCGTCCCAGCCCAGATTTCCATCGTCATGGGAATCCTATACCGCTCCCGATGGCATGGAGTAATCTCATATGCGGGATCGATCTCCTTATGAACCCCGATGTCATGACACGTCACCTTATTCACAACCGTCGTTTGATGACAACCAGTCTGTCTCTTCACATCGCTCCTCTCCTGACGTTCCTACCCCCCCCCAGGGGACTAAGGACACTCAACCTTCCTCCCCATCAGAGGACCTCTCATCCTACACTCACTTCATTTCAAGGATGGCTCAAGCCCTTCATGTTGAGGATCCTTCCCCTCCCGAGCCTGATCCTGTCTTTGATGACATCCTTCATGACATGACCTCGCCAGTCAGTCTCTCTTTCAATAGATCAGTATTACAACTCATTAAAGACACTTGGGAAAATCCTCCCTCAATGATGCAAATTTCTCGTAGAACTGAGAGCCTGTATAACTCTCATGGCGATGACATCGGGTTTCTCAATAAGCACCCTTTACCGAATTCCATTATAGTGGAATCTAGCCAGTCTCGCCGTTCCAACAAGTCCAAAGCTACTCCCATGAATAAAGAAGGCAGGAAACTGGATATCCTTGGCAGGCGAGTTTACTCCTTGCAGTTTTTCCTCCTGCAGAATATTAGCTATCAAGCCACTATGGGAGTGTACCAATGCTACCTTCGGAACAGAATTCTCCCTCTCCTGGAGACCGCTCCTGAGTCCGTGAAATCTGAGCTTATTGACATTCATGCTGAAGCTATTACCTTGGCCAAGCATCAAAGGCTTGTGGCATGCCACGCAGCAGAAGCTGCATCCAAGACCTTGGTGTCATCCATATCAATTCGTCGCCATGCATGGCTTCACTCATCCACTATATCCGACAATACCAAGTCCCGCATCGAGGATTTACCCTTTGACGGTACTAGCCTGTTCAATAGCAAAACTGATGAAGCCATGGACAACTTCCACAAAATATGCAAGACAGCAAAGTCTTATTCTTCGCAACAATTTCCCACTTATCCAAGGTCTAACTACCGCTTCAATCAATCATATTCTCGGCCATACTCTCAGTATCACTACCAGCAATACCAGCCTTACAAGCAGTTTTGACCTCATCAGTCAGACAGGTCTCCATCGACCCCGCAGCTTCTTCTCTCTTCCTTTCGTCCCCGCAGCTCAACTCTCCAACGCCAGCCCCTTCCCAAGAACCAGAGGAAGGGTAAGCCATATTGATTCTATTTCTTCGTGATTCCTTCCCCAGGGAAATGCCCCAACCTCATTCCAAACCAGGCTGGCACCGTACTACCCTTTTGGCATACTGTTACCACAGACCACTGGGTTTGACTATTATCTCCCAGGGCTATAGAATTGAATTTCAATCCTTGCCCCCGCTGGAGTTCTTTTGCCCTACTGCTTTTCCCCCTGTCCTCCAGGATGAAGTTGCCACTCTGCTTTTCCACTCTGCTTTTCATCATCAACAACTTACAAGATGCCTATTTCCACGTCTCCATAATCCTTCCCATCAAAAATATCTCCATTTCCACTTCAACAATGCTGTTTTCCAGTACTGCTCCCTACCATTTGGACTTTCCACAGCTCCAAGAACTTTCACAAAATGCATGGCACCCATCGCCACTTACCTGTGCCTTCATGGCATCACCATTTACCTCTACATCAACAATTGGCTAATCGTCACAGCGTCATACCACGACGCCATAACAGCCCGAGACTTCACTCTTCTCACCTTGCAAAAACTTGGACTAAATGTAAATATACAGAAGTCTCATCTCCAGCCCAAACAGATGGCCCTCTTCATCGGCGCCCACATTGACTTGTTGCAGGCAAAGGCCTTTCTTCCTCACGAAAGTTTCCTAAAGATAAAAGACTCGATCACGCTCTTTTGAGCTCGTCAAACAGTCCCTGCTCATCACGCACAGTGCCTTCTCGACCTCATGGCATCCACCACATCATTGATCCTTCATGCCAGGCTCAAAATAAGACCTCTCCAATCCTGGTTTCTCACATTGTTCGACCCCATGTCAGACCCTCCAACCAAGAGACTTCCAGTCCCAAGCAGCCTAGTCACTCAACTCGCATAGTGGACTCATCTTCCACACCTGCTGACCAGCAGACCCTTTCTGCCACTTCAACCCACTATCCAAGCCACCACCGACGCCAGCCCATCTGGCTGTGGTGCCCACTGCCCTTCCCACAGCATCCGCGGGCTGTGGTCAAAACGAGAACAGATCTTTCATATAAACCACTTGGAAGTCTTGGCCATAATCAGGCTTTTAATGCCTTTCTCCCACTCATCAAGGGATAAGTGGTCCAGTTGGCCACAGACAACATGACAGCACTCTTCTACATAAACAAACAGGGAGGCACACATTCCCGTTCCCTACTTTACCCAGCTGTCAACCTCTGGGAGTGGTGCTACCACAAACACATCTACCCCATAGCGGTCTACACCACCACAGAGGACAACTACATTGCCAGTCACCTCAGCTGTCATCCTTCGATGACACACGAGTGGTTCCTGAAGGAATTCATATTTCGCCAACTGTGTCACCAGTGGGGCTCTCAGTCAATCAACCTTTTTGCAACCAGCAACAATCGGAAATGCCAGATCTTTTGCTCCAGAGCCGAGCAGACAGATGTTGGATCGGGGATGCTTTCCTGGTGGACTGGTCCAAGGACTTCCTTTACCTTTTCCCACCAATCCCACGCTCAGTTATTCAGTTCAGACAGTCCAACGGCCATGCCATTCTCATAGCCCCGAAATGGCCTCGGCAACTGTGGTTTACTCACCTGGTATCGATGTCCACAGACTGGATTAATCTCCCTCCGATCCCAGACCTTCTAACTCTCAACCAGGGCATGATCCCTCATCCAGACCTGGCCTCCCTCAATCTTGTAGCATGGAAGATATCCCCAAAATAATGACAGTTCTTCATCAAGCCTGTAAACCTTCTACCATTTCTCTGTATGAGAGCAAATGGAAAGCTTTCCTCAAATACACTGCTGAGCACAACTTACCTGCTATACCTGTTTCACTCACAACTTTACTTACCTTTATTCTTCACCTTTTCCACAACGACCTCTCTCTGTCCACCTTCAAGGTATACATTTCTGCCATCGTTGCCCACCAACCGGACAACTCTCCATCAGCAAAACTCTTTTCATATCCGATGCTCAAGAAGTTCCTTAAGGGGCTCCGCAACACTCGACCACCACTTCAACATATCCTCCCTCAATGGTCCCTGCAGGTCGTGCTCAACGCCTTGACATGTCCTTCCTTTGAACCCATGTTTTCCTGCAGTTTTCAGCTGCTATCCTACAAAACAGCATTCTTGGTGGCTATCACCCCAGCTAAGCGAGCCTGCGAACTCGCTGCCTTTCATTGAGACCCACCCTTTACTCAGTTTCACCCTGACAAGGTGACCATGTATTTTGATGTCTCTTTCCTACCCAAGGTAGTTTCTAATTTCCATGTAAATCAACCTGTCATACTACTGTCTTTCTTCAGATCTCCATCATCTCTGTTAGAGCATATGCTCCACACTTTGAACGTCAGGAGAGCACTGTCTTTCTATATCCACAGGACTAAGTCACACAGACAGTTCAATAGACTTTTTCTTTGCTTCCATGGTCCTCGTATGGGGACCCCTGCATCACCTCAGTCCATCTCTAAATGGATAGTTTCCAAAATTTCTCTCGCCTATAGACTTTCAGGAAAATCACCTCCTGACCAACTGACGGCTCATTCCACAAGAGACCTTGCCACATTGGTTGCTTTCCACCACGGCACCGAGATTCCGGACATATGCCGTGCTGCCACCTGGTCCACACCATCGACCTTCATCCGACATTACCTACTCGATGTCAGGGCAAGACATGATGCTTCCTTTGTGACAGGTTTAAGATAAACCTGGAGGAATTGTTGAATACAATTTTGTACAATGAAATAAGTGTTTGTAAGACTCAGTGCTGTAGAAAGAAGTAAGGCTAGCATTTATACAGCTGAGTTAATTGTAACAGCTGAGGAAGAAATCCCAGGACTGGATAACCCTGGGATAAAGCTAGCAGACCTAGCATACACACTCTGTTGGTGTCATTGGTGTTGGTGTCGTGTTGTTGTTATCGTGGTGCTGTGCTGGAGAGATCCTGGAAGAAGCCGTGTCTTCGTGCTAATATTGGGAGAAGAACTCTGGCTACTGGACTGAACTGAACATATGGTATTTGACTGCTGAACTAATTTACAATTACACTAATTTACTTTGACTCTGATTTATGCATTAAACTCTGTTGAACCTGCTGTGTATGACTTCGGGACTGAAAACAAGGACTAAGCTGTGCATGTATGTATATATTCTGTAAATAATACAACTATTTTGCTATCAACACTGCTTTATTGCTTGGTGTCTTCATCTCTCTGGGGAATTCTACTGGTTACCGCCACCTAGTGCCTCCTGGTAATACTGCAACTCTGTCACTTTGGCAGAGCTGTGTTGGCATCCTTCCTGCCGTGACGTCCCACCTGCCAGTAAGTGAAGCTTGCTAGTCACCCATATGTGTGCATTCACAGAAGCCATGAAGAAGAAGGAAAGGTTACTTACCTGTAACCATAGTTCTTCGAGTGGTCCTCTGTGAATTCACACTACCCAACCATCCTCCTCTCTTCTGTCACGGCTTACTTAACCTGTCATACTTATGCCTGGTGGAAAAGTTTTAGGAAGGGATGGTGGGCGGAGCATATGCCTTGTGAGGGAATCACACCACTAAATTGTTACTTTCAGCTCTAGAATCTTCTGAGAATGTCAGCACAGGCGCAGACAACACCCATATATGTGAATTCACAGAGGACCACTCGAAGAACTATGGTTACAGGTAAGTAACCTTTCATTTTCCAAAATGACATGCTGCTTTTTGTTTATCTTTTCATTTAGTTGGACAGAACCCTAGAATTGTGATTCTCTTGCATCTAATCTCTTACTTCATCTTTCTGTGAAATGTACTTTTAGCATCATTACAGCCATGGGTTGTGGTGGCCCATGAATTTCTGGGATATACATTTTTGTTCCACAGTTTTGCTAAATATACGGAGTCATCCAGAATCCAGACTGCTGAAGCACACTGCAGGCCAAAATAGTGCCAAAGGACACTGAACTTATGGAAACCGATCTGTTACTGTCTATTTAGAGTTTTATATTCAAATAATATTATTAATTTCAGACAAATCATTCTATTTAATGTCAGTTCTAGGATGTTATCACTTTAGTTTGCTGAAAGTGTATTCCATATTATTCTACAATTGTAGATGTTTTGGGACTGCTAGTTATTTTCCCCCTCAAAGTTAGAATAAGCTAACTAGCTTTTATGATAAAATTTTGCTTACTTCTTTTATTGGAACTTTGTCATGAACACGATCAAAGCTCTAGTGTTTTTATTCCTCTTTTACTTGAGATTGTGACATTTCCCTCTTGCCAGGTGTTATAAATAGACCATGATTAGACCTGAAAACACATTAGTTTTGGAAAGATATGATTCAGGCAGATTTTCATATTTGAGAAATCAAACTTTAAAGGAAGCCTATGCTTAAATCCTTAGGATCAGTGACAAAGACATGAAAAAACATAGCAGACTTATTTGCTGCTCATGACATGCAGTCAGAAATGCACCTGCTGTGCACTCAGATGCTTTTGAGAGTTAAAGAATTCCCTCTTCTAACGACAAATCATCCTTAATACTGTACTTGTTAGTACTATGAATTGTAGCTGTCTACATATATAGAGCAGTGAAATCATTTGAAATATACTATGCCATGTTTTGCTTTGAATAGCATTGGAATGTGTAGTGATTAATCACTTTGTTTCTGTTTGGCTAGAAGCCAGGTAAAAATGTGGCAGCAATAATCCAGGATATTCATTCTCAGAGAGAAAGGGACATATTGCGTGAAGCAGACAGGTACTGCATCATATTATCATTTTTTGCTATATTTTTTGTGATCTGTTAGAAGGAAGTTGAAATTGTAGGGTAGGAAAATGCTAATTCTTTTGAAAGATTGAGAAGGAGGCTGAAAAGTTTGAAAAACATATTCAAACAAAACATACGATGTCAGGCCTAAAGCTAGCTGCTCTCCAGAAAGGGTAAAAATATACTGACAAAGAAACCTACAAGTTTTATACAACTTTAATTCATTTTGTAATATATCTGTTTTTATATTTAGGCTGTATTCTATATTCATTTACCTGAGAGCAAACTTCTTTGCACTCTATGGGACAGAATGCTGCGGCTAGACTCCTTACCGGAGTGAGAAAACACCATCATATTTCTCCAACGCTGGCCGCATTGCATTGGTTGCCCATCTGTTTCGCATCAACTTCAAAGTTTTAATGCTTACTTATATGGCCCTAAACAGTTTGGGACCTCGATACTTGGCGGAGCGCCTACTCCCATCAAGGTCTACCCGGATCACCCGCGCGAGCCAGGAGGTGAGGTTGAGGAGCCTGACACCGAGAGAGGCCCGGATGGAGAAGACACGAAACCGGGCCTTCTTGGTGGTGGCTCCTCGCCTTTGGAACAATCTCCCTCCGGAGATTCGCGTGGCCCCTACGCTGGGCATGTTTAAAATCCAACTAAAAACATGGTTCTTCACTCAGGCCTTCCCTGCAGTCAACTCTTGATTTTCTTACTATTATTTTTCTTCTTATTTTTTCTATTTATATTATAGTTGTTTTGTATTATTTCTGCACTTGCTGTGTTTATTGTTTAAATTTTATGTTGGAAGCCGCCAAGAGTGGTCCATTGGTCCAGATAGGCGGGTTACAAATCAAATCAAATCAATCAATCAATCAATCAATCAATCAATCAATCAATCAATCAATCAATCAATCAATCAATCAATCAATATTATTATTAACATTTAGTATGCTTTAGTTCTGAGATACTGAGCACAGAGTAGCGTGTTAACTCCTCAAAATACCTCAAGATGCTTTCCTCAGTACATTTCGTATGTTTTAATGCATTAAGCCTGTGGTAAGAGCAGACATAGTGGGACACGCTACATGTTTTGTACAAATGCAGTTTTTAACAAATATTCATAAATGTTTCACTCCATTGTTTCCTTTGGCATATGTGATGGTGACAGTGATGATAACAATGATATAGATATTGTCACATAATCTGTTCAGGATACTTGCCTGATCTTGGCATGAGAAGATTTTATTCCCTGCTAACCAAACATGATAAGTAACTCTTCCTATTGCTTATATCTCTGCCTGTGCAAAGTGTATATGTATTATATTAGGACTTGCTTGGTAAAAGCTAATTATAAAGTACCTTATTGGTTATTATCCACTGCTGTATATTGTTATGATCTACAATGTATCATGTCGCTTCTGGAGAGATACTTTAATTTTAGTTTATTTAATAACTTTAATAAACTTCACAACTTTTTTTTTTGATACTGTAGGTATGGACCAGAAAGGCCTCGATCTCGAAGCCCTATCAGTCATTCTCCAAGATCACACACTCCAAGTTTCACTTCCTGTAGTTCCCCTCACAGTCCACTGAGTACAAATCGGACAGACTGGGGGAATGGAAGAGAGACATGGGATCAGTGTTCTTATTCTCGAAAGGGGGAAGAAAAAGAAGTATTGCCATGGAGGGAGGATGGGGAAGAAAAAAGAGATAGGGCTGACTTGTGGGTTCATGAGAGAAAACAACATTTACGCCATCTAGACAAATTAGACTTGGAAGAACGTATTGAAGGAATGAGAGGGCACAAAGAAAAATATTTAAGAGGGGGCTCACCTAATGCAAAGAGGGCTCATACCTTGCCTGGATACAAAAGCAGAGATGATTACAGAAAGCCATGTAAGCAAAAGTCCGAGAAGTATCAAAAACAAGTGGTGGATGGAGCCTCAAAATGTAAAAGGAAGGAAGAGGTTAGATTGGGAGAACACAGACTTTCTCATTCTGAAGATCCATTTGTAGAAGAAACATCAGAGCAAAAACTCAACAAAATGTCTGACAGTATGAGACAGAAGCAAAATGATAAGGAAAAACTCAAGGAAGTTGATAAAAAGCCAGAGGAAGAGGTACCTTGTGTAGCTGAAAAACATAATACAAAGAAAGGAAAAGGAAGTGGAAATGAGGTAATGTGTAATTTAAGTTACTTTTGGCAATACAAATATTCTGAAAACCATTTTAATTTGATGCTGTCTCCTTTATAAAGGAATTTGAGTTGTTTTGCAGAGTGAACTAAGATGTATAGAAAATATAGATTCCTATCAGTATCACAGCCAATCTATTCTAACTTAAGTATGATAAAGGATTTGCTGCCTCTATCACATAGGTCGGTCAACAGGGATAAATTACCCCAAATTGGGTAAAAGTGAAAATCCTGGGGGTAATGAGCAGACTGCTACCTCCCTCCCTCCCTTCCACCCCCACCCTCTGCAGCCAAAGCTCAAATTGTAAGCCTACTTCTTTTGTTGCAGCAGGGCACTTCTAAATGCTCCATTCTTTCAGTAGAGCGGGAGATAAGCCTCCCTAATTGGTTACAGGTGGGGATTAGCCCTGGGCAATTAATCAATCCGGGGCTTCTGAATGACTGCTTCCTCCGGAAATGACTGCAAACAAGCACGAGGATAGAGAGGATCAATGAGCAAGCAAGGGAAAGGAGGAAAGAAAGGTGCGAGAGACCGAGGACTCCGTCAAGCTTATTTAAATGTACAAAATGGAGGGAGAAAATGGGGGGAGGGAGGAAATGGAGGGAAGGTGGGTGGGTGGGTAGATGGGTGTGTCTGTGTGTGTGTGTGTGTGTGTGTGTGCGAGAGCGAGAGAGAGAGAGAGAGAG